TCAAATCGCATGAGTCTAATGATCATTAAGTGTGGCATCCCGGAGGTGTTTAGGGACACTGTTTTTGAAAATATCACAAGTGCCAAAGAATTTCTTACTGAAATTGAGCAGCGCTTTGCAAAAAGCGATAAGGCGGAGGCAAGCACTCTTCTTCAGAACTTGATCTCCATGAAATATCAAGGCAAAGGAAATATCAGGGAGTACATTATGAGCATGTCTAATATTGTTTTTAAACTCAAGGCACTAAAGCTTGAACTCTCAGAAGACTTGCTCATTCATTTGGTGTTGATTTCTCTTCCTGCAACGTTTAATCAATTTAAGGTATCTTACAACTGTCAGAAGGATAAATGGTCTCTTAATGAACTCATTTCACATTGCGTACAAGAAGAGGAAAGACTAAAGCAAGACAAGACAGAAAGTGCTCATTTTGCAAGCACCTCCAAGGCTAAGGGCAAAAGAAAGAGATCAGAGGATCTCGAGAAAGAAGCTACTAAGGGTCCAGAACAAAAGAAACAAACTCAAGAAAACAAATATTTCTTTTGCAATAAGACTGGACACATAAAGAAGAAATGTGATAAATATCATGTTTGGCGTGAAAAGAAAGGGTTGCCTAAACTACTGGAAGCCAATTGATTCTGAAAGATGGATTTATGTTGGAGATGGCAAATCGGTAGAGGTGGAAGCTATAGGGCATTTTAAATTGTTATTGAGTACTGGTTTTTTATTTGGATTTGAAAGACACTTTTGTTGTGCCGTCATTTAGACGGAATTTGGTTTCAGTTTCTTATTTGGAAAAATTAGATAATTTGTGTTCATTTGGAAACAATAAGTTCAGTTTGTATTTTAATTTAGATATTGTTGGAACTGGTTCACTTTTGATTTATGATAATCAGTATTTACTTGATATTGTGGCCACCTATAATGAAACCCTTAATACAGAATCACGTGGTACTAAACGTAAAATTGAAAATACTCACTCAGGTGCATTATGACACAAGTGCTCAGGTCACAATCAAATCGTGACATTTGGGCTTGTGTTACACTCTTAAAGATATGGTAGAGAGTATGATTTGTCATTCCACCTTACTGGAATCACTTTGGAGAGAGACACTAAATACGACAGCTTATATTCTAAACAGAGTACCAACTAAAGCAGCTACCAAAACACCTTATGAGCTTTGGATTGGGCGACAACTTAGTCTGAAGCATTTCCATATGTGGGATTGTCCAGCTGAGGCAAGACCTTATAAGCCAAATGAAAAGAAATTGGACTCCCGAACAATAAGTAGTTATTTTATTGGTTATGCTGAAAGATCCAGGGGATATAAATTTTATGATCCCACATTAAAGATAATTTTTGAGACGGGAACTGCTACGTTCTTTGAGGATATTGAGTTTGGGGAGAAGAATAAGATTAAGAACTTCATCTTGGAGGAAGAATCGGTAACAATTTTAGAACCGATTCAAATAGTTACTTTTGATAAAGTAAGTTCGGAACCTCCACAAGGAATTGTTGATGAACCCCTTACTCAAGATGATTGGTTGTTCATGAAGAACAAACTCAAGATCCTCAAGAACCTGTGCATCATGAGCTAATAACTTTGCAGAGATCCACTAGAGAAAGAAGAAGTGCTATTTCGGATGATTACATGGTATTTCTTCAGGAACATGAGGAAAATAATGATATAATGGAAGATGACCCAGTTAACTTCCGTCAAGCTATACAAGGTTCTAACTCTCAAAACTAGATTGAAGCAATAGGATAAATATAAGTCCATGCAAGACAATAAGGTTTGGGAACTTGTCCCATTACCAGAAGGTATGAAACTCATTTGGCTTCAAGACGAATATTGTTGATGATTGTGTGTATCACAAGTTTAAAGGGAGACAAGTTTAGTCTCAATCAGTGCCCAAAGGAGAATTTAGAATTTGAGGAAATGCAAAAGATTCCCTATGCATCAGTTGTAGGGAGTTTGATCTATGCCCAAGTATGTACGCATTCAGAAATAATATACATAGTTGGGGTTCTAGGCAGATATTTAAGCAATCCAGGAATAGACCATTGAAAAGCAGCAAAAGGGGTCATAAGATATTTAAAGAGAACAAAAGATTATATGCTCACATATAGGAGGTCAGACCAGTTGGAGATCGCTGGGTTTTCTGACTCAGATTTTGTAAGATGTCAAGAATTTGTAACATGCTATGAGACATCAAATCATGGAATATGGTCGAGAAATTTTGTCATAGGGTCGCAAATTGTGAAAGGCATTGAAAGACCACTTAAGTTATATTGTGACAATAAATCAGCTGTATTGTTAAGGAAAAAGTACAAAGTGGACTGATTTCCATAGAACACTTAAGGACAAACTCCATGATAGCATATCCTCTAACTAAAGGACTTCGCCCAAGGTCTTTCATGAGCATGTTGCTCACATGGGTGTTTTACGGTTTGAGGAATTTGTGGTTTAGTGGGAGTTAGTCACTTTCATATATTTTATGTTCTATGTTTAATTTCATATATGTATACATTGATTTTTGAACATATTTGGTTATCTATAGATATGCGGTTTTTTCGTTCATTCATTACACTTTGTACATTAAGGATATTATATCGATCTCGATAAGTTAAAGTTTGGACCAGTTGAAAATAGACGTGTACAGATCACCTTTACGTAATTTTTCATGCTACACATTTCATGATGAATCCATGTCATTTGGTTATGTTAGGATGAGTAATCATTGTTGGTTTTAATTGCGATGATGCAATGAAAAGCTGGTTTGGTTTTATATCCTGATATGATTAATGGACAGGGCTTTTGGAGTATACTAAAGGAATATAATGGCAATTTTGAGCTCATAAAGTCTAACACATTTGTAAGGTTGTAAGGACATATATATTTGTGACCAGTGGGAGATTGTTGGCAAAATTTGGGTCATGTATATATATGATACATAATTTAAATGTGTTAGGGTCATTATTTATTAAGCCAAATAATAAAGTGAGCTGACTAAATTAAAGTTTTGGCTAAAAGCATATGTCATGAAAATAAAATTGTGTAGAAACCATTGAGCAATTTCTAATTTGATGAGGGGTCAAATTGGAAATACTAAAACTTAAGTAATTAACCTAATTTTGGTTATCTAAAGGGTCATGGTCCCCTTCTGGGAGCACATAGACAGAACATAAGTTTCATTCTTGTTCCTTTCTTTCTATCCCCATCAAGAGAGAAAATCAAGAGGGAAATACAGGTGCTCTTCAGGTGGAAGACCATAAGATCAATACAGATGCTTCTACAAAGACATCATCATTATGGCTAATTCAGTGACGCTTTCGCATTCAGTTTACAACATGTTTATCGAGTATGAGATTATGTTTATGTTTGATCGTTAGAATCAAAATCAGGATTATTATTATTATTATTATTAATTTTCCAACAAATTGGTGTTGTTGATTTATCGTTCTTGACTTGAGAATGAGTGTTAATAAATAGTCAAGTAAAAAATTTAGTTATTATGTTTCTTTTAAAACTTTTCATATATATTTTTATATATGTGTATATTCGTTCATAAAATATATAGTGGTTGAGGTATTACATATACTACTATTGTACTATATTATGTAAAATAAAGTTTATGGGGAGTATACTTCTTTTAGTTAGGGAAAATATAAACCAAAAATTTACAATGACTATTTTCTTTTTACAAAATTAAGTTTTTACATCATAATAATTTTGTTTACTTACAAACACTATTTTTTAAAGAACTATATCTTAGAATAATGAGATTTGTTATTCATAATATCGTGAGCACTATTTTTTATAAATACGTTTTTATTATTTACTAACATATTCGACTTAAAAAAATTAAACTACATTAATAGAAAAAATATTTATATATAAAACTTGGATAAATCTATAAAAAAAATATTCATTTATGTTAAACATGAAGGAGTTTATAAAAAATTATATGTATAATATGTTAAGAATAATATTTAATATTATGGTTTATGTACTATAAAAAATGAATTATATTAAAATGAATTAATATTCTAATATTTATATTTATCTCTTTTACTTTTATCAAATTCTTGAAAATTATCATTACTGTCTTAATATTTATGTTTATCTCATCTACTCTTGTCAAATTTTTGAAAATCATCATGTAATTTCTACAGTCTTAATTCAAAGTTAGACTTTAAATTTGACTTAAATGATTTGTTTTTTACACATTTTCTACAAAAACATTAAAGTTCATATAAAATACAATTGAATAATTATTTATCCGTTTTATTATTTTATTAAAAATCAGGGATGCATGTAAAAATCATTAGGTAATTAAAACAATAACCTAATATAATTGTTAGAGTGAATACTAGTAAGTTTGTTCAATACTTTTTTTCATAACGTTTTTAATGTTTAAGACTTCAAAATCTCACCACTTTAATGTTAGTTAATATTTATGAACTTTTTTATTGTTTAACAAATTTATTTTGCGTGTTTGATATTTTTTGTCATTGAAAAATTTAAAATTAATAAAATTTATTATTTAATTTTGTTAAAATTTATTTGTATATGAGATTAATTTCATCTGAAACTTGATTTTATTAACATATTTCTTAATTTTAAGTTGAGCTAGTACGTTTAATAAAGTGTTTTATTTTATAGATAAAAATTAATAATTAATTAAAAAATTATTCTAAAATAAAAAAAAATGAAAATTACAGAGGAGATTAAATTTTGTAAAACGGTAAAATAAGGTAGAATGCATAAATAAATTGAGAAGATAGAGATTAGGGTAGTGTCACTCTCGCCTCACCCTCTTTTTCTGCGGCTAGGGTTTAGTTCTTCACTCTCTTTCTCCCCTCGTCATCTTCTTTACTCATTTTCCCTATCTATTCCTATCTCAATTTAACTATGGAATCCTCCTTTTGATCCTTTTACACCTTCCGAGAGATTAAGAAAAATATTATTTAGTTTTTCTGATAAGGGTTGCGTTTCGAAATGGCTACTGCCAATCCCTTTGATTTGTTGGGTGACGACGTTGAAGATCCGTCGCAATTGCTCGCGGCTGAGCATTTGAAGGCAGCCGTGACTCCTAAGAAGGAACAGGGCAAACCTGGAACCCGCAGTGGCGCGGCGACATCTCAACCGGCCAAGCCGGCTCAATTGCCTTCCAAACCGCTTCCTCCTTCTCAGGCTGGTTAGTCTCTCATTTCGGTTTTTATTTTGTATTTATTTTTTCAATTTTTTTTGTTTTTTTTTAATATTTATACTGGTTCGTATTTTTTTTTTCATTTTTTGGTTTTTGTTTATAATATTTATTGGGTCATGAAATGTAGAAAGTTTAGATTTTAGTTTGTATTGCAATTGAAACGAGTTTTGATTAATTAGTTTGGGTTTTTTATATTTTGGTTTGTTTTTTTGTCTCTAATGAACATTTTTGAATTGTTTGTAATTGAAATGTGTTTTGTTTATAATTAATTAAAAAGTCAAGTTTATTTCAATTGAGCGCAAATTGTGGCTTTTTGTTGATGCAGTTGAAGTTTAGTTTGAAATTTTTTGTTTTTGACAGTGGTTTTATCGGCTTTAGCGTTTGGAAGTTATTAGTAATATGATATTTTCAACCTATGTAACAAGTGTGGGGGAACATGCTATGCTTTGGTTGTTGTCTATCGATATGTCCATGATAGATGTGGTTGATGTGCTTGAGAACATGCTTTGGTTGTTGTCTATCTGTTTGGAGTATGCGATATATCCATGATAGCTGTGGTTAAACATGCTTTGGTTACGTTTTGATTGTTGTCTATCTGTTTGGCATGTGTGATATGACCATGATAGATTTTATCTTACGTTTTTGAGATGTTGGATTTCTTTGTTGGAAGGTCCTGATCCTCTTTAAATGTTTATTAACTTGTTGATCCTCTGTTTTTATTTTTTGTAATTACTTTATTAAGTATTACATTAGTATATTTGGACTTTTCAGATGAGTTTATTTCAACATGCTTTTGTTGCTACCTTGCTTCCTGAACAGCCATTGCATGGATTATATCCCTGTGTTTCTCATCTAATGGTTTTCTTCCTGACAGTGAGAGAGGCAAAAACTGAGACTTCTTATGGGGGTCGTGCAGGTGGCCGAGGAGGTGGTCGAGGATATGGACGAGGACGTGGTGGTGGTAGTGGCTTTGGGCGTGATTTTCCCAGTGATGAAAACTCATCTGCCCCTGCTAACCAAGGATCCTTTGAAGATGCTGGGAATCCCTCTGAAAGACGAGGTTATGGTGCTCCACGTGGGCCCTATCGTGGCATTGGTCGTGGTCGACGTGGAGGTTTTAGCAATGGTGATGTTGGTGAAGATGGACGCCCAAGAAGAGCTTTTGAACGGCGCAGTGGGACTGGACGAGGGTAACACTATAATTCATTACTGACTAATATTTCTTTATTTTAGTACTGTTTCTTTTCTCTCTAATAATGTTATCAACTGTTCTGTTTGCAGAAGTGAATTCAAACGAGATGGTGCTGGACGAGGAAACTGGGGTACACAATCCGATGAAATTGCTCAGTAAGCAATTTTTAATTTTTATAAATAACAAAGTTCAGATCACAATTTCTATAAATGAGTTAGTCCATTGGAAGTTATTGATGATTTGTTTCTTTGGATATTAAATATGCTAGGGTGACTGAGGAAGTGGCAAACCAAACTGAAAAGAATTTGGGTTTGGGTGATGAGAAGCCAGCAGGTGAGGAAGATGCTGCAGATGGTAACAAGGAGAGTCCTGCTAATGAAAATGAAGAGAAGGAACCTGAGGACAAAGTAAATATTCAATTAAAGTTTTGGTTGCCCATTTATTTTGAATGCAAATTCCAGATTTTCTGCAGTACATTGTCAGGAGACAAACAGAAGATGTCTTGTGAATGAATGATCATTCAAATTAAGATTTAGTTTAGAAAATGTAGGAACTTGGGGTTTTGATTGCACTTTTCTTTTCTTGCTCATGCATATGCTTTAGTAGGTTTTTGTTCATCCATTGCTGAATGAAATTTGTAGGAGATGACTCTCGAAGAGTACGAGAAAGTGTTGGAAGAGAGAAGGAAGGCTCTGCAGGGAATCAAAACTGAAACCCGGAAGGTGGATGTCAAAGAGTTTGCATCCATGCAGCCACTTTCAAACAAGAAAGACAATGATGAGATATTTATTAAATTGGTAAGATTTTTTGGCCCCATGTTATCCTTAATTTATAATTATTTTGATATTAATGATGCCTAATGATATTGTTTGACATTTCTAGGGATCTGACAAGGATAAACGTAAAGATGCTTTGGAGAAAGAGGAGAGATCCAAGAAGGTGAATTTTTTGACCAATTTGCTTCTAATATAACTTCTTACTATTTGGCAGCATAATGAACACTAGATTAATTTTTTTAACTTGCACATTTCAAAACCACTTTGAGGATGCCATAATTTTTAATGATAGCAGTAGAGTAAGTTATGAAAAAAATGCAAGGAATAAGTTTTATCACAGCTTTTTTACACTGGAAGCAACCAGTAGTTTTTTATGTGTACACTTTATTACTTGGACACGTGCATATTTATCTATCCTAATTGGCATTTTGATCTATGCTAATGGTTTTTTCTTGTAATTATAGTGACAGTTTGTTTGTTCAGTTTGAAGAGGTTCATATGTCATTATGCAACATCATATTTCTATTCAATTGTGTTAAAATTCAAGGTTTATAATGATATGATCGGACCATGTTTGGTTTTATAGTTGGGTATTGTTTATTTATACAATTGCTTTTGCTATTATTGTTTTAGGTTCTACATGATTTGTTTACTATGTTCCTTTACAAACACTATAATCTAGAGTTTATTTTAATTTTGATTCTTTGGTTTTCTGCTCTTAACTAAATGCGTTGTATCATTGTATGTTGATGATGGTTTCCTTGAGACTATTATCCAGTTGAACAATATTTTTAGTCTTAATTGTTTTAATTTGTTTTGTTATTTATTATGACAAAATTCAACAAGTGATAAATATATTTTTGCCTTGTAGATTTAAATGAATCATTTTTAGATTTGCTGAACCTATGTGCAATGCATCTTTTTCTCTTTGTAATTCAAACTGTTTTCGACCTGTCTCCTAACTTTCGGACAGTTAAAATGAAAGAACAGAACTAAAATTGTCAGTGTTATGAAAAGTTTATATTCAATAACTAGATGATTCCATGTGCCTTATTGTTCATTCTCTCATTGCACTTGTGTTAGAAGGAAATTTAATTGTCACCCTTCATTCATGTCTTGGTCTATTATGCAATCTATTGATTTTAATTGCTAATTTGTTTGTCTCTCCTAACTTTGTTTCCTTGGTTGGACTTTTATTCTCAGTCTGTGAACATCACTGAGTTTCTGAAGCCAGCTGAAGGGGAAAGGTACTACAACACTAGTGGACGGGGTCGGGGACGTGGTCGTGGTTCCCGAGGAGGATACAGTGGAAATGCAGGCAACAATGTTGCAGCTCCGTCAATTGAGGATCCTGGGCAATTTCCATCCTTGGGTGGCAAGTGAGGTTTTCCAGAACCCTTTTGACATTTCCCTGTTCTTTTTTGTCAATTTTGGGTTCTCTTATTTGGGACTTGAGCAGGAAAAAAACTTTGGTAATTGGATTTCCTGAATTAGATATGGTTATTTGACTTCTATGCCTTAAAATGTAAATTTAGGTTGTTCTTCATACGTGCAGTCCTTAGCCTTCTTCTTATGTTTTGCCATTTTACAATGGTTGAATTACAAGGTGGCGGATAAGACATAAAAGTGGTTGAGTTTCGTTTTTATTTATAAATTGATTTTCATTGTGTTCTGTCATTTTACCATAGTTTTATTATGAGAAAAAACAAAAAAATTACTTAAGTCATCTTGTTGCGATTAGGATAGAAGTCGTGTTACCAAATTTTGAATCAAAAACTGAAATTCCCCCAACACGCCGATAAGGCATAAAGTGGATGAGTTTCGTTTTATATTAAATTCTCAGTTTTGATTTAAAATTTGGATGCATAATTTTTATCTTAGGTAATTTTTTTTGTTTGTAACTAATGTCAATATTACTATAAAAATTATTGTTTAATTGGGTTTTATTTTAGCTTGTACAATTTGTTTTACTGTTCTTATCTCAAATCAAATGGAGACGGAAATATTTAGTTTTAATTATTCTGAAAATTGGTGACTGAATACACGAAATGTTCTTATGAACCGGTGAAGATACTGAAAGAAAAAGGTGATTAAAACAACTAATGCAAAAGTCGATAACTGATAATAAAAAGGTATGTTTTTAATCGAGCGATCCGGTTGAAGTGTTTTTTTGTTTTGGAGCAAAGTTGTGAATTGGTTATTAAATGTTTGTCCAACTATATCAAGGTTTTACATGTTATTTCCTTTCTAAAAGTTATGTACATTAAACATAATTTTGGAAAAAGGTGAACAGGTAATAAATTTAGTATTTTTTGTGGTAGATTTTATGTAATTATAATCTTAATTAAGTAAAAAATACGTCAATTTTTAATGAAAGAAAAGTTTAAAATTAAAAACCACAACAGTCAATATCGTATAATTATGTCAAACCAACTAAAATTATATACAATTATATATACTTCTAAGGCATTCTTTTCTCTTTTATTTTATTTATCTCAATTTTTACTTTTTTTACTAGCTCTTTCTGTTATCACTACCTTCTTCATCTCACTTTCCTCCCCTTTCAGTGTAATAAAGTAATTTCATAATTTCAAGTTAACATTTATTTTTATTTTTTTATATTACTGTATTTATAAAAGACTAAAATTAGGTATTAATTCATTCCATCTGCTTATATTCATTATTCACCAAGTCATAAAAGACATGGAAAATAATGTTTTCTGGGAATTATGTTCGTCAAATTTGTTATAAAAACATTTTCATGGGACAGTGAGTTTTGAGATAAAGTAATTTTTTACTAATTCAGAGTTAAAATAAAATTTGTACTGATTTCTTGTAAGCTTATCATACTTCTATCGTTTTTACATTCTCAATGTATTTAGTATCCTACTTCTAAAATAAAAATTCAAAAAATGTTGAAAAAGAAAAAAATAGAGGATGAAAATAAAGATAGAAATAATTTGACGAACATAATTCCCAAAAAAACCATTATTTCCCATGTCTTTTATGACTTGGTGAATAATGAATATATGCAGATGGAATGAATTAATACCTAATTTTAGTCTTTTATAAATGCAGTAATATAAAAATAAAATAAAGAAATTATTTTATTGCAATGTGATTTTATCAAATTTGTTTTATATCTTCGTCTAAAATTAAACTTTTAAATTTTTAATATTTTATAAAAATCTAGACCTAATATTTTAGAGAGGTCACAATCATTAAAAAAAATACCAATAATTACGTATTTACTCTCTTAAATAATTATTTTCACGTAACTTCTTGTAAAATAATGTAGATTAACATCTTATTCTAATTTAGATGTAATTATTGGAAAGATAGGGTTATGTAACATGTCAAGTTTTATTGGAAATTTAAGCTTCATAAATGTCAAGTTCTGTGTTTAGTAAATGTCAAATGAATTCTTTTTCTGGCTTGTATTTTTTTTTTTTTTGTTAATTTCATTTTTACAAAAACACAAACAAAAAATGATCCCATAAATGATGCAGAAAAAAAAAACGGTTGAATGAAACTCTTTCTTTTGTATATTTTTTTCTGATATGATCGTTTAGAAAGTTATCAATTTCATATAAATAATACTATCTCTATTACCGAGTTTAAAGATTATTAACGAATAACGGAATTTAAAGATTATTAACGAATAATAATAAGTATTTTCATTTTTAAAAGAATTTTACTGACATAATCTCATTTTTTTTATAAATATATTAATTCATATAAAAACATATTAGAAAAAAATAATATTTTATTAAAAAGTGAGAAATTAATCATTTTTTTATTTGTTCGATCCATAAATTATGATGCATGCGCTCACCAATCACCACATGCAAAGAGGCTATCATTTTGTTAATGCAAACTTACTAATAAATTTTCAAATTTCATCAATTGTTTGTTAGGTATCCAATTCAAATAATGAATGCCATCAAGATAAGGAGTTTTTTTTTTTTTTAATTATATTAACCTGTTTTCGATATTATAATAATATTTTAAATATAATAAATTTATTAGAACTTAAATAAGTAGAATTTAATTTAAATTTTAAGAAAGTAGCATATTCCAAACGATAATACTTAATACAATATTTTAAATTACAGAAATAATTATTATAACTTAAAATATAGTATAACATAATTTAATGATAATAATATGCACAAAAAAAAGATTTTATAAATACAAACCTTCAAAGATAAATTCACTTTCATAAATTTTAATAAGTAGAAAGAATTTAAAATTTGAGTTAACCCATAGTCAAGTGAGAGTTTTCCCTCATTAAAATTGATAACTCAGTTTCTTATTATAAAAATAAATGAGAGAAATAAATAGCACAATGATTGCTCAATTTTATTTTTTACTATGTTATTATTATATATTTTTGTATTATAAAGGAAACATATAAAAAAATATAATTTCTGGATAAAAAAACTCTCTAAATATATATTTCCTTAAATTGATTTTCACATTTTATTACTTGATCAAGTGTAATTATGTAATTAGGTACATGCTAATTTTTCCCTGCTTTCATTTTCTATATATAAAACAAGTTAACTTTTTTTTATCTTTACTTTTTTTCTACCAAATCATAGGAAAAAAAAAAGTTTATTCTATTTTACTTGAAAAAAGTCATTCTACTTTTTCCTATTTTACTTTACCTTCTCCAAACAAAAGCAATGAAATAACATTATTTCATATCTAACAAGGCTTTATATATATATATATATATATATATATATATATATATATATATATATATATATATATATATATATATATATATATATATATATATATACTTCAACTACTTATTTATTTATATGTTTGCAAAGCCAAAAGGCACAATAAGCATGCTCCATGCAATGCCTTTGCTCTGCATGATTGTGTCTGTTAACCAGTCATTGATCATAACGTTCTGTCATGATGTTCTATGACATTAATGCATGTTATAAACCACAAAGACAATACATGTTACGAAGCAAACAAGTAAAAAATAAAACTAGTATTGCCATGGAAAAAATAGACTAGAGTAGGAATAAAGTTGTATCATTAACAAGTACTAAGAACAAGCATAGCATTCGAGCATATGTAAAGAATGGGATCACCTAGGCCACAATTCCCAAACCACAGGACGAATTATGTGACAATGGTCCACTATTTAGAAGAAATAACATACCCCTTACATGCAAAAGGTAAGTTTAGATCAAGCAAAATGGATATCAACACCATCCAGTTAGGAAGAGCAACAACCACCTTTTTGCCCAACAGGTTGCCCTCTGATCTGCACTGTTGGAGGCCTTGCATTGTTCGCAGAAGGTTGACTTGCCATTCTGCATAAGGGTAAAGTTACCATCAGAAAATGGTTGCAAGAACAAGAAAATAAAATGTTCAATGTTATCTATACTTAACAAGAGTAATTGTTCATTATCAAGGCAGCCTTAGAGGTAGAGGAAGGACATAGCATACATTTCAGAATTCAAATGGAACTTTGTTTGGAGCGCTACAGGCGACATAATGATTATAATTCATGCATAGTTATTTTATTTGTGTATGTGTAGGTACCAACAACAGATTAACAATTCTGTGTGCTTGAATTGCTTGACCAGGTAATGCCATCATAAAATGATGCTATATGGAATTTCTAGATGCTAAGTTTAATTAATTATTCTATTTGGAAGTTTAACTAATTTTTCTCTGAGCTTTCATTCCAAGCAAGATAGTGTGTGTAGGTACTGTGAGAATTGAACCATGCAATAACCGCCGTACCACAGTTGAACACTTCAAATACCCTAGCTCCTTCTTATAATTATTATGCTTAGTTTTTAAACTTTGATGTCAATATCACAAACATCATTACAGATAAAATCCAACTATTTTATAAAGTCCACAAGGACTTGTGATCATCTTGAAAACATTAATTCTCTGTTGATTTAAGGTTGCATAATGTTAATTCACATTATTATCAATTTTATACATTGTATTACAGTCATCCTGTGCTGTGTAACTTTTTACAAAATTGTTTAGGCTAACAATTGTTTTAGTGCTTCTCTCGATAGCTAAAAATAGTAGTTTCTGTAAAAAAATATATCATAAACAAACATTTAAAATCTGAAAGAAGTGCACCCTAAGCTTAAGTGATATTTTTTAATGCCTTTGTTCATCTATTCAATAATAAATAGGAACAGGTGCGTTACCTATTCTTGATGGAAGCAGACATGGCCATGAATGCATCTTCCACATTTGTAGCATCTTTTGCACTTGTTTCCATGAAAGGTATTCCAATTTGATCTGCAAATTCCTGTAATGGGAGAAGAACAAAGGTGGGGAAATGTGCCGGTTCAGGAACATGAACATTACCATTCCACAAAATTATAAACAGAAAATGATATATGTCAAGGTTATACTTTAGCTGTGTCATATGAGACAACTCTATTTGCTGTCAGATCACTCTTGTTTCCAACCAAAAGTTTGTTAACATTATCACTGGCATAGCGGTCAATTTCACTGAGCCACTGCTTCACATTATTGAAGCTATCTTCATCTGTCACATCATAAACAATCTGTGGAAGGAACAAGTTAGTGGAGAATGCAACAAAATCCCAACAAACGTAGGGAACCTTTCACGTTTAAAATCTTATGCTAAGAAAATCAACACCTACAATGATTCCATGTGCTCCACGATAATAGCTACTAGTTATTGTCCTGAATCGTTCTTGCCCTGCAGTATCCCACTACAAAGAACAGGTAGTAAACCAAGTAAGAAAATATCTGTCAGTATAATAAAAATGACGAAGGTGGAATCTAATATTGTCTAGGAATACAATAGCTTAAAAAGAAAAAGAGATCTCCAAAATTAATATAGAAATGAACAATAACAAAACACCTCAAAATATTAAAACATATATCACAAGCTTACTGAAAGTATAACATCAGCAAATAAAAAAAAACAATCTCAAGCGAATCAGATGCATACAATCTGTAGTTTAATTGTCTTTCCATCCTGTTCAACAGTGCGAATTTTCTGCACCAAGTAAAATGTAATGATCAGTTGAGCAAGAGTCTCATGAGTAAGTTAAAAAGGTGTAACATTGTACTCACAAAATCAACTCCGATAGTGCTGATGTAGCTCTCAATGTATGAATCATCCTGTAGCACAACATAGAAACTATCATAAAGATAGTAATTTAAATAACAGTATTGAGCATCTGTGTACCATCTCCATGTCAAATTAACATGAAGAATAAGGCATTTAGGTTACAATCTTCCACACATAATGACACTATACACTTTACTTTAGATAACCACTCAAGACCATTTTGCTGCACATCAAATTTTCGCTCAGAGACAAATGGGAAAAGCGAAAGAAAAGATCCCAACAAGGTAACTGAAAGTAATGCCCACACCCAATAAAGAAACATGGCAAAAAAACAAGATCAGAGAATAGGTGAGTAACTATTTTTTAAGTAAGATGTAAAAGTATCGTTTCAAATCAGTTTACATAAAACAATTAAATCTTTTGGATAAGAGAATAAATGTATAAGGGGGTGAAGAACAGGGTAAACAAGTATAAGGAAACAACATAAAACTAAAATATAGAATAAAACAAAAGGTTGATAACTTACCGCAAATCTTAGAAGAAGGCATGATTTACCAACACCAGAATCTCCAATTAGGAGGAGCTTGAACAGATAGTCACTGCAAAAATAACAGCATTACATGAAGTTTCTCATTTAAAATAGACTGAGAATCAGCCTTAGAATCTCACCTTAAAAGATAAACTAAGACCATTTCATACACACAATCATAAAAATCATAATAAACAAAGACATCAAAGTTAACAGTAAACGCGTAGATCTTAGTTTATCCATTAAAATCATGATAGGTCACTTTCCCTAAATTAATGTTAAAGAAATATATAAATACAAATAAAAATTGTTACATTCACATTTCAAATTTCGCACACCAGGTTATGAACAAAATATCATCGTCGATCATCATCAATTGTTAACCAGTAATAACAATAGTCCTCCTCTCAAATTAATTATAGAATGATGATCCCGTATCAAAATTATAGTCCAAACTACTCAAACCATGAATCCAATTTATAGGATCCCCGTCAATAGAAAATACAAACACCTTATTTTTATTTTTTCAGTTTACTCTTATGGCCCAGGTACCCTGATCAAGGGCCAAGACTAATTCCAAGCGTAAGATATATCTCTTAAGAGATATTCTTCTGCTCCCATAGACATGCAGTAAATCATATCCTTGATCACATGATCACACATAGACACAATTATCTATCAATCACACCACGTTTCAATCCATTTGAATCATATGCAGATACTCGTTTCAATTCATTTGAATCACATGCAGATACATGTATTTCTAATATTTGTTAAAAAATAAATAAAATTAATCCGGTCACATCATATTTCAGAAAAACAAAAAATGGATCCAATCTAGGGTTAATAAACATACAAAATTCAAACTCCAAAACCATCCCATTCAAACAAATTGGACAAATCCACAAACACCCTTTTGAAAAACAAAGACAAAAAGGCAGAAATGGATCAAATTGTTAGCGCGATCAGAAAGGAGAAGGGAACATACTACTCAGGATTCATATCGGGTAAGCACTAAAGTGGCCGGAAGGCTATCCGCGGAGAGAGGAGGGAGGTTCCGGTGCTCAACGAAAGGCACCAAGGATGAAAAAAAAAATGGTTTAGATTGAGAAAAAAGGGAATTTTTAGTTTTTGGTTTAGTTCGGGTGCTTTTGAACAAAAATCGTGTGGACCGCAGAAGAAGGAAGGTTATATGGTGCCGTATTAAAGTGTCTTCTGAATTTGTTGTTCGGGTTTCGGTTTTGATTTAAGGGATGAGTTTGACTATTCACACATGCCAATGGTTGACCATAAAACTTATATAAAAAAAAATTTAAATAAATTAAATTAAATTAAATAATATAATATTCAACCATATGAATACAGTTTATGTTGCATTTTTTTATAATATATTTACTAGTTTTTGTAATTCAATTCAATATTCAGTTGAAAAAAATCCAATTAAACTAAACTAAATAAATCATAATTTTGATTAATTATTTTTTCTTTTCTATTTTTAAAAATATTTATTACATATTTTAGTTAATTTGTATAAACTTGTAAAATTTAAAATATTGAACTATTTACATCTAACATATTACATTTTTTATGAATAAATATTTAATATATATTTTCTAGACTTATTTTTTTATTATTTTTAAAATTCAATTAATATATTTAATTTTAATTATACTGATAAAATAATATATATATATATATATATATATATATATATATATATATTAGGTCAGAAATCAATTTTTATATTTAAAATTATCTTGAAAAGTATTTTACACAGAATTTGGTATTTTATATCGTAATTGTGTATAAATAGTTTATTAAATATTATATTTTTATATACTAATATTTAACATATACATATTTATTTAATGTGAAAATTTTTGCAATAATAAAAATGATTTGTTTTTTGTATAGACTAGTTTTAACATATTTGTAGTTAAGTTCTTGTACAGGAATTGAATTGAATTCAAATCAACTAAATAAATTTATATAAAATTCAACCTTTATAATTCATATTAGTTCATACGATGTAATATATTTTGAATGGAATGATTATTCTCTTTGCAAACTTATTTTGTTATATATTTATCATCATAATTATTATATATAATTTTATATGTATATATTTTTAATTAAAAACTAAATATTCGATTATACGTGACAATATGTACATGTTACAGTCATTTATCTATTTAAAATCATATTTGTTTATGTATTTAATATTTGTTTAGATAATTATTCTTATAAATATTTTTAAGAAATAAAAATAAAATGAAATTCTTTATTTTATTTAAATTATTTTGTGTATAAGGGAACTAATTTATAAAAAATTATTTGGTACTATTTTCTCTAAAAGATTATTTATAATTCATTGATTAGCTATTATGATTTTATTTTTATTTACATATATGTTATTGAAAAGTTTAACTAGTGCTATAGTAGCTTAATTTATATATATGTGACCATCTTATGTAACAAATACAGAATTTAATATTAAACACTTTTAAATATTTATTACATTAGTAATTTTGGAAAACAACAAAGTATATTCAAACATAAGATCTTAAAGAATTTTTTTAAAAAACTCAATTTATTTAAATATAGAGAAAAAAAAGATTAATTGGATTTAAAAAAAAAATAAAAAGAAATGAAAAATGAGTAAAATTTGTAATTATTTTAAAAGAATAAAAAATATGCAATAATTTAATAATCTAAATAAATATCAACATTTCTTATTTTATTAATAACATTAAGGATACATTTTCTTCAATATATTGTAAAAAAAGAAAAAATTAGCTGAAATTTTTCCTTTTGTATTAATAAGACATTTTTCACCACATTAAATATTTTCTTCTCTTCATTCGTGATAATAAAAAATGTCTTGTCCTTCACATTAAATCATGTTCCCATGACAAATTGATGAAGTCAACTATAAATTTACAATTTTCCTTTGATAGTAAATAATGTGAAGTAACAATGTAAATATTTGCATATATGCATTATAATTATTTTAAAAAATTATTAATTAATTATGTTGAAAAATTACTTGTTGAATAATATATTTTCAAATTATGTCACTACAATAATCATGTCTTATGATAAGTTTTCAAATAATTATATTTAAAAAAAAAACTTTAGTTTCAATGATGTTTTTTTTTCTATAATAATTTTCAAACATAATTTCCTATGAATTAATTTAGTTCAATTTACAATGCATCAAATATCAAATTTCAATTTTTTTTCTATAAATTTAGTTATCTCTCAAGGAAGATTTGGTTTTTCCGCTAAGAGTTTAATCTCCACTAATTTAATTTATTGGATGATAGGTGGATGTTCTTCGTACTCTCATTTAATTTTATATTACTTAGCCTATTTTGAGCTTGTTTACTGCCATTTCATCTACTCTTATTTTATTCATCTAATCTCACTTGTTTTTTTAGCTCCCTCTCCTCTTCTTCTAAATGATTCTTCAATCTAAAACTCATTCTTTTTAAAATCGATGGTTTCTTATGGTAGTGAAATATTATCATTAAATCTAATATTTGTCAATTCTTTAATTATAAAAAGTTTTAATGTTAAAAAAAATATACATGCTTCAAATGTACTTGGGTATCCAAAAATATTTCTTTATCAACCTTATCTCGTGTTTGGATGGGTAATTTATAATTTATTTTAGCATGGTATTTAAAATGTTTCATAATCAAATTGGTTGTTTGAATAGAGAATTTGAAAAATAATTAAAATTTTAAAAATTGCTAAGGGTATTTTGATTATTTAAAATAATATAATTTCAATTTTCACTTAAAAAGTAAGAATTTGAAAATTTTTATCGTTTTTCCTTTTTTAAATTTGAGATATTTTCAACTTATTTTGATTCGTTTCAATGCATGTCAATCTAACTCGACTCAGATAAGCATGACTTAGCCCTAACCTGACTTGTTTAGACTTGGTTCGAATCAACCCAACACATTTTGACCATCATTGAACCATCCTGACTCGATCTGGTTCTTCCTCCTGCATTGACTTGATCCAACCTATATTGACATGATCCAATCCATCCAGACGTGACTTGTCTTAACCTAATCCAACCTTCCCGATCAAGTTTGACTCAACTATCCAAAGTAGGTATGACCCACTCCAACCCAAATGATTTCGATGGTCTAACCCAACCTCTCTAATATTCATTTATTATGTTCATTAACGACCTGACTTAACCCTTATGGACCTAACTCTACTCGACATAGTCCTATTTATTCTATCCTAGTCTGATTCATCCCAACATAACTCAATATGACCCAACTTATTCCACTGTTAAGTGACAAAAGTTGATATAATTATGCTTTTAATTGTTATGTAACCACTTCAATTATATTGATTTTAATTTATTTTTCTCCCAATGTAGAATGAATTGGTAGAATACCTTGATACAAGAGCAAATATCATAAATTGTGAAGATAATTGAAGAAAAAGTGAAAGAAAAGATTGAAGATTTTCAACTGGAAATTCGCTCAAGCGCCATCTACACTTACTTGAGCGAATATACGTTAAAGCTCTCGGGAGTTCACTCACTCAAGCGTCTTCCATTCTTGCTTGAGCGAAAATACGACAAACCTCTCGGGTGCGCACTCGCTCAAACGACATCTACTCTCGTTTGAGCGAAAATACGACAAACCTCTTAGGTTTATACTCGCTCAAGCGAACATTTCTTGCTTGAGCGAAAGTTACTATTTTTCGCTCAAGCGAATTATGGGTCGTTTGAGTAAATGATGTGAGACCAGACTCAAATTTTCTTATAAAAAGATAAGACGTGTTTTGAGATGAATTTTTAGGTTTTTTGGAGAAGAGACGCGGTTGTTGTTCTGTTCTTCAAGGATTCTTCAACTCTTCCTCATTTAAGGCAGTGTAATGGCTACCATGAGTAGCTAACTTCATTCTCTTAGGATTAGACGCACTTCCTTTGAACTCTTTTGTATCTTTGTGATATTTTGAGATATTAATCTATGTTCTTGATGTTGTTATTTTTATCTTTTGTGCCTTGGAATGATTTATTCTTGATGTTTGGGATATGATTGAAAAATATATCTTGAAACTCTAGATCAGGTAAGAATATTTGTTACGTTAATTACCAGGAATGAAATGAATGTATCAAGTGCTTAACACCCTAAACCTAATGCTAGGAAATCTGTTAACTGTGTGAGAAATCGACGTTTATCAGGTTTTCTTATGAATTTCACATGCGAGGAATCAAAGTGAATGATTTGAGTAGGTGCATAAACATTGATAGGTTAATTGATATTCTTAATTTGACCTAGTCATTATACAAAAGAGGGAGAAGGAATTAAATCAATCATAAGTTCTTTTATTTGATAT